AATTAATGGTTGCCCAAACTTTAAGATTACGTTTTCCTACCAATATTCATGATTTGAAAAGCATATTTGTATGAATGAAACTTGATCCCTTGTCAATTTTAACAATTCAATGCAATTAGTTGTTATGTTTCTTCAATGTGGATATAACTTTAACTTTCTATAGTTCGAGCCATCAACTAACTTAGAAAACTTGTACTTGTATTTTCCTTTTTCCGTTTTCTTGTTACTTATGCTTTGAATACTGCTTTCACTTTTTGTTGATTGTTTTGATCCAAATTTGTTGTGCATTTGGTTGTTGGACGTCGCATCTCGTTTGATTGTAGTGGGACATGAAATTTGTTAGCATTCAACTCCCGACTGTCACAATTGAGGTTAAATACTTATCTCATACCAAACCTTGTTATGTGACATGTGATCAAGGTCGTGATTGAGGATGTTCCAAATGCGAGATGTGGAACTGACTGTCAAATTTTTTTATGGCCCATTTATATATACATATTTAGGCTTTTTTCCAATTATATATGTTTTAACCTTTAAGGTAATTACATATGTTTTAGTCTAATTATATCGTTTTAAGCAGATTATTCATTATTAATAAAAATTCTTCTTTTTGAGAGTATTTTATTAAATTTGGGTTTTTTGTTTTTAATTCTTGAAGATCAAAAGGGGATTTAGACGCTTGTTGATCCTTCCACACTTCCTACTGCATCAGTTGGTATCAGAGTAGGATTCGTCTGTCCTTTTCACTAACCATGGCAAATTAGCAGCCCGTTACCAAAGCAGATCTAGCTGAGATGACTATAACCATTACCACAACTTCACTACTCTGAAGACGGTTGTCAATCGAAACCATATCCAACCCAACAATGGCCCTCGTTCAAGAAGGGATAGACGTGTAAAACCCTTAAAAAAATTAGTACCAAGTTCCTTAGTCACTTTTGGATCACACTATGGCAAATGTTCGGGACAACCCTTAAAAAAAGTAGCACCGCTCACCCATAAACCGATGGCCAAATGGAAGTCAGTAATCGGATTTTGGGAAATCTACTCCAAAGTGTGTGTAGTAACAAACCCAAGCAATGGGATGTGGATGGCCCAAATCGAATTCACTTAAAACAACGTTTTGCACATTGCCACTGGCCACTCTCACTCTTCTTGGTCTACACTTCGACGCCATGACACATGGTCGACTTGGTCAAACTATGTCGAGGCTTTGGACTTAGCATAACAGTGGGGAACATGACTAAAGAGGTACAAGTGACGAAGGAGGATGTCAAAGCTCAACTCGAAGCAACGGACCTAAAGAGCAGCAGTCAATACACATCGCCGAAAGAAACTATTTTACGAGGGAGATAAAGTGATGGTATTCCTCCGGGAACAACGTTTTCCCATCGGCACATATGGAAATCTACAAACACAAAAATATGGTTCGTTCAAGATTACAAGAAAGATCAACAATAATTCTTATGTCATCACCCTTCTTGAATCATTGCATATCTCAAACACCTTCAACATTGCCAACATTTATAAGTACCATGCAGAGGCAATCCTTTTAGAAGAGAACTCAAGGCCAAGTTCTTCCGACGTGGAGGAGACTGGTATAGAGAGGCTATCAAGTGCCATCGAAGACTAGATCAAAAATGGGGAAAAAAACAAACAGAAAGTCCCGCAAGTTTCCGGGGATCAAAGTCGTCGGAAAAGTCACGACAACCACTCGGTTAAAGAACGTGGGAAAGAGAGCCTACTATGTAACTCACTGGACAGTTTCTCACGGGTAGCCACATGACTAAACTAGCAGGGCTAGTTGCCTGCAACCTTTCCATCTCCATTTCTTGATCAGCGTCCTACAACAATTCCAATTTCTTTTCTCTTCTATTATTTATTTTAAGCTTGTCTATCAGTCTCTTAATTTTAGATTTATTTTATTGTTTTTCTATAGAAACATTATCAAGCTATTGTTCTAAGCATATTATTCATTATTAATAAAATTTCTTCTATTTGAGAGTATTTTCTAAAATTTGGGTCTTACGTTCGTAATTCTCGAAGATCGTAAGGGGATTTAGACACTTGTCGATTAGCGACTATATGAACACATTGAGTAATTGTTGTTGAAACTTAAAAATTGATAGATATGCAAGTTAGTAATAAATTGGTGCAAGAAAGAAGAATGGAAATGAAGTTGTATGAGTCAAAATTGGTGGTATGTGCACACAGTCATCAAGAGATCTCAATGTGATGAATGTGTGCACGATCGCGAGCTGGTAAGTTCACAAGCGCAAAGCTAACATATCTGCATGCACAAATGTATGTAAGACTGAAAGCGAGCTTAAGCCTGCTTACAAGGTGAAGTTGGTCAAACAAGCTTACTTGAGCTCGTATACATGTAAGCGAGCAAGAACTCAAGCTCAAGGTGTTTGGTTTTAATGAGTTCATGACTTCGTCTTCAAGCTTGTCATTTCAATCACTTTCTACTCTTAAAGGAAAGTAGTTCGCCCATTGAATATTGATAAAAATCGATTGTCCCAAACTTCGTTGTCTCCTTTATGCCCACCAATTAATTAGATGGATCCATGTCATTCATTTATTGAGAAACAACTATAAAAATATAAAATAAAATAATGATGTGGTTTTACGTGATTGTTGATAAAGACGGAACATAAAATTTGAAAAAAATGATTTTTATTTGTCATCAATTTGCTATGCGTTTTGGTCTTCGGGTAATTCAATAATTGGGCCTTTGTAGTTTGGGGAATTTGAATGGAAGAGCCCAACCCAAATCCAAATAAAATAACACAAAGAGAGAGTTGAAGCCTTGAAGGTCCTTAATTCCTTATGATTGGAATTTATATGTAAATATCATTATTGTATGGTCATTTAAGTATATACGTCGTCGCTTCATTTTTAATCCTCAATTTCAAGTTCTTTTAGTGCTTTAAATAATAAGACAAAGTTGATTTCAAATCATAGAATATATACCAATAAAATGATATAAAATATATAAAACAAAGAACAAAAAATAAATATTAAAATGATATATAAAGTTGGGATCATGTAAGAACAACTGACCCGAATCCATATATAACCGTTTCAGATTACTAGAACAATGTAAGTAAGATAATGCTTTAAAAAGGGGACGCTACTATAAAGCAGACCATTAATGATGTCAATATTTGTTAGTAATCCCTCGTTAAAGGCTATGCCGACGGATTAGCAATGAAAAACATCGATTGGATAAATATTAGTTGGTAGGTAATACCCGTGGATGAAAAATGGTTAGCAATGTACATATTCGACGGTAATAATCACTAAAGTAATTTTATAGTATGGAAAAGAAACTACCATTAGAAATCGAAGTGCTATAGATCGATATTAAAGAAAAAATCAAACGATAAAATAAAAATAAATCTAATTACGAATGTTCAATGGTAATCTGCCAAATGTATATAATGTATTGACGAATTCACGATAAAATATCATTTAAAAGAATAAGTTTCAGGGGATGTTTGGTTAAAGGTATTAAGAAGTAATCAATGAGAATGAAAATAAAATAAACTGTTTCGGTATTATATAATATAACGAGCTCATTCTCCCAAAAGCCCAAACTTTCATTTCAGATTAAACTAGTGGGTGAAAATGCATTCCCATTTTCATTCTCTATCATTTTCATTTTCGTTCCCTAACATGAACCATACAACTCCTTAATTGTTGTTGTCGTCTAGGAACAGATCTAATGTAGTGCATACGGTGGCATGGGCCACCGCTTTGTTCCTCGGTCGTAGCGTAAAAAGTTATAGGCATGAAAAGTGTAACGACATCAATTTGTTGTGTGCCACCATATATTTGAAACTATAATCAGGATACAAGTTTCTATTCATAGAGTTGGTTTGCAAAGCTTTTCTTCCACCGTAGACCTGAATTCAAGTCCCGCTAGTGTTATTTTCTTAGATATAACTTTTAATTTCAGATTTATTATGTTTCTTAAAAACCTTACGATAAAAACATGAACACATGATCTCACATATGAAAATATATACCTTGTTGAAGCTGACAAAAATCTCCTTCCAGAAAGAAATATTCTAGAAATGTAGAGCTGAAGTATCTAGAGTATTTAGGGACAGAATATCGAGAAATTGTAAGAAATTGCAAATATCTAGAAATCTATGGAGTAGTAATAAGCTAAATTTCATTTCAAAGAGCAGAAAGAGCACATGAAACCAAGATCCATATGCAAAACATAAAACAACATGGGAATTTAAAATACATTGGCGACAAGGAAAGCTTATTTGAGATTACAATAATTGGATTCCAAAGTAAATGGAATCGCTTTCCTTTTTTCATAAAACAAGGTCGATGTATTATATATCTCCACACGGACAATTCATCTCCTCAGTTAATTTCCACTGGATTATCGTAGAACAAACTATTCATCAAATTTGGCAGAATAATATTTATGAAGATTTCACTTCCTTCCTCTGATAGGTGGATACTATCCCAGAACAAGTATTTGGAGTCATCGTCGCACGTTGAGCTGAGTTTGTTACAGAGAAAAACCACCTCTAATTCTCCGGTTCCACAACAGCCTTTATCTGTAACTTCCAAGCCTAGGGAAAACAAAGAAGAGAAAGGAAAACCTTATTAAAGGTGAATGCAAAATGTGGACCAGAAATTGCTGAATACATGGATGGAAAGTTTCATCGAAGTTGTCAGTTGTGAATGGAAACATAAAGCACAACTCCTTATATATGAAACATAACTAATGCTATATATCCATTGTATGAACAGCAGATGCATCAAGTTTAAAGGGGGGATTTATATTTGGTCTTTTGCTAGTCACTTACATTTCCCATTCTGAAACCAAGTTATGACTATGACCAATGAGAGATAAAATGACAACTGATCAAGACTAAGATGATAGGATTTTAGGGGAATTTCAAAACTATAAACTTAGAAGCATCATTGATATTTACACACATTTGGTTCATAAAGTGTATATATTAAATCTAATCAATACCGTATTGGTTAGGGTTTTCAATGATGCTTATCAGAGGATTGTAGAAATCTACGAAGGCCACCCTGGATTGAGGAAGACTGCTTGCAAGAACTTCGAGCTGTTGTTTTAGCATGTTGTTGTACGATTGTGCTGCCTCATTTTCCTCGTCTTTGCAGGTTCTAAGTTCACCTCCAGCTATAGTTCTGACAGCGGGAAAACAGCCAACCGGGGGTGCACTAAAGAAAGCTATCTTTCTTGCTCCAAGTTCGTATAATTCCTTCAACGAATTTTAAGAATATCTGTAAGTAATAATCTCGTTCAAGATGACCCTTTACCGTTTATGTTTTCATATAATAAAATTTGTACGTTTTTGTCTTCTCATTGAAGCTTGTACATTTTCTTAGGGCTCTATATTTGCAGCAGTCTTTTATATATATATATATATATATATATATATATATATATATATATATATATATAGGGCCAAGATCAAATGATAACCATCATTTTTGTGTTAACCTTATTAACTTATCTTGGCCATCCAAATCTATAATCAACGGTTAAGATTAATCAATAAAAAAAATTAAATTTTAAAGTTTGAATTTTAATGAGGCCTAATGAACAATTATGAAGAGGCATTTTGGGAAGAAAAAATACACTTATCAAGGGTATTCTAGTAAATTGAATTCATTTGTAACCTCCAAACAATTAATGGGGAGTTACAAACAATCAACTCTCAAAAAATATGCATTCATATTATTATTTTTATTTTTTTACTATTGATCTTCCATATTCATTCTTGCATGAATTTCTAAATCGCATAAGAAACACAGTAGTAACAATTTTCGATATTGATCAATTTGAACACAAATGAACCGTGAACACAATTTGAACAAAAATGAACAACCGTGAACACAATTTGAACACAAATGAACCGTGAACACAATTTGAACAAAAATGAACAACCGTGAACACAATTTGAACACAAATGAACCGTGAACACGATATGAACACAAATGAACTCGATATGTGCAATTTTTGGCCCATATATTCACATACATAGACGTCCCACAAAATTAAGGTAGCATCTGTTAATTTGTGTTCATCTATTAATTTGTTCAAATTGTGTTCACGGTTAATTTGTGTTCAAATTTGTGTTCACGGTTAATTTGTGTTCAAATTGTGTTCACGGTTGTTCATTTGTGTTCACGGTTCATTTGTGTTCAAATTGATCAATACCGAAAATCGTTACTACCGTGTTTCTTATGCGATTTAGGAATTCATACAAGAATGAACATGGAAGATCAATAGTAAAAAAATAATAATAATATGAATGCATATTTTTTTGGGATTTGATTGTTTATAACTCCCCATTAATTGTTTGGTGGTTACAAATGAATTCAATTTACTAGAATACCCTTGTAAGKGTAAAATGAACAAGACATAAACCTATAAGAATAATGGAATTTGAATGGTTGAGAGGGTTTTTAAAGTTAACACAAAAATGATGGTTAACATTTGATCTTCCCTCTCTCTCTATATATATATATATAGAGAGGAGTGATCATATGAAAACCGTCCTCAATTGTGTAAACTGTGCAAACCACCTTCATCTGTCGATTTCATTGTTTAATCTTATGAAATTTTTTCATGAAATTGTTTAATCTTGTGAAATTGTTTATATATATATATATATATATATGTGTGTGTGTGTATGTATATATCTGCTAGTCTTGATTTTCTATCTTGCAAAGCAAAGCTCGAATGTGTAAATATAGATGCTACAATTATTGAGCACATAAAACTAAAAGAAAATCAATACCTGTACAAAATCCAAGGCTGATTTTACCAGCTGGTTAAGATATGCAGGGACATCAATTTCAAATAAGCTTCTGATGGGAAGGGAAATAATCAGATCGTTGGTGCTTATTACTACCAAAAATACACTGTTGGTGATTAATTTCTGGGCACCTTCGTCCCCGATATTCCTCTTGAGCTCCCCAATGTATTCTTTGAAGTTGTCCAATTGATCTGATAGTGGTATAGCACCCTAATTGTTGTACACCCAAAGAAAAACAAATTAAGCAAAATAATTGCCTGCTGATGGAAAGGGTAGAAAGGAAAGAGTTCTACTAAAAGCACGATATGCATACATACCGATAATGTGTTTGTTAAATCATCATAGCCACAACCACCAGAAGCAAAACTTACACCTGAACGAAAATCTTCTTCTTGTAGGGAAGGGTCTAAATATGCTGGAAGATACTCCTTCACTCCCAATGCCTCGGCTTAAATTTCATATCAAACAGTTGCAGTTTTATCAGTTAAAATGATTAGAAGTTACTAAGGTATGCATGTGCTACAGTACTTTGATCCTCTAAATCCTATACATCTTGTAGCGTTTGCCTTTTCTTTTGAAGTTCTTTTTGCAAATAATTCAGACATTCAGCAAATTGTTTTAAACTTTGATTTTCTTCATACTTGGTTCTTGGTGAGCCACACACACCGGAAGTTCGTGTGATGAACGTGAATGGTGCAGTTTACCAAACGATTATCCTGTAAGTACTTACCAAGTCATATTACCTTACCGGATGAATATGGCAAATACCAAGAATCTTATTCGGTAAGAGCGAGCCATGAACACCTAGGGTCTTGCCCGGTAAGTAAAGGGTGACGACTCTTCCCACAGTTAGCTCTTACTGGGTAAATTGTTGCATATGATGTCGTTTTTGTTCATTAAAATCTTATCCCGTAAGTAAGTGATAGTGTTGAATTTAACGGTAAGCGCTTATCGGGTAATTAAGTGAAATAGGGGATTAATTTATATAGACCATTTGGGGAAAAAATCTTACTGAGAATATCAGCTATTGTTCTCCCATTGGAGAATCTTCCCGTTGGCTTTCCACCCTCAAAATCCTGTCCATAAGGAAGGAAATTAGCCTTGCCCAAAGTAACGATATAGTTATTATTCCCTTGATCAACGAAAGAGTCTCCGAATGCTAAGACCGCTGACACAGAGACATTTTCTGACAGAGTTATTGCTTCCACCCCGCTACATAAAAATATACGAGAAAATAGACAAAGAAGAATGGCCTTAACAACTGAATGATTCATGGAGAATATACGCTTTTAATTGAAATATTTGTGACGCAGTTTAAATGGTAACATGACTCCCTTATATAGCGATAAAATGTGTACTTGTTTCATCCACGTTTAAATTTGCCAATTGCATTTTTCACGTTTCTTACTCGTACTTTTGGCCCGTTAAGCATTTTCTTTAAACGACAAACCAAACCGCGGATGCCCTTATATCGTAAAATACTGGCCCACAAAAATTTGTGTGGTGTGGTTTATGCAGATAGTGACTAAATACAAAGTCGAGGGTACCCATCTTGCATTTAGTATGAAATTTCATAATCCATAGTACCGTGGAACATTGCGTTACGTAACAATGAGAATTTGAGGATTGGGATAAACTTAAAAATCATACGTAATTTACGAAGTTTTTAAAAAAAATCCTATGGACCACTGCTTATAAAAATTTGCATGATGGAGTTGATATTTATAAGCTCATGTTCCGGACTATGAGTAATTTAACTAGACATAATAAATATTTTTTAATTAACTAAAAGAAGTCCCTTGAAGTCAATGAAAAAAGTTTCTTGAAACCAACAAAAAAACCAACAAGCCCATTGAAAGCAACCGAAAAACTTAAAAAATCTCTCGAAAAAGTGGTTCAAACAATAACACTAATAACTATTAGACTTATTAGTAAATCACAAATTGAGATTTATTTTAATAAGTAATTCTCATTTTCTATATATATAAGAGCGGTTGTCACATTTGAATGAGCTTCCAAGCTTATAAATTTCATTTTCCTTTTAATGTAATACATGTTCACATTTAAATATATCATGTATTAAATTAATAATTAATTAGTAGCAGGTACGGGGTGGGTTGGGAAATAGGTTACCCGTCCCCGACCCCACCCTCGGTTTTCTTATAGCGGGGATCCTCGGACCTCGACCAGTACCGATTTAGCATGGAATTCTTGGCCTTTGTCGGGGCTGTTTTTTTCATAGTGGGGATCCCTGGCCCCAGACCTGGTACCCGATTTAGTGGGAAATTCTCGACCACGTTTGGGGCTGGAAACCGCTTCCCCATTGGGTAGGGAAAAATCACCAAGCCTACTACTTAGTTCAAAAAGAGTTCATCTTGTTCACCGATCACCAAGCTCTAAAACTCATCAACAGTCAAAAAATGGTCAACAAAATGCATGCCTTATGGGTAAGTTTTCTGCATAAATTTCCCTTAATGATCAAAAAGCAAATCTAGCACTCTCAACAAAGTGGCCGATGCACTCAGCTAAAGGGTTGCTCAACTCATTACCCTGTCACACGAGATAGTTGGTTTCGAGACAAGAACTCTATGATGAAGATGATGACTTTAGCGACATATGGAGGAAGTGTAACAATGGCATTCCAAATAGCAATTTCTTTGTCGAAGACAATTACCCTTCCGAAGGCAATCAATTATGCATTCTTGACTCCTCCTTACGAGGTAAGATAATTAGAGACTTGCACGGATGAGGATTAAGTTCAGGCAAGACAAGACCTTTGATATCTTGGAAGAAAGGTATTTTTGGCCACATCTAAGAAGAGATAGAGGTTTCTTTCGTGAGAAAGTGTCACACTTGTCAAACCACAAATGGGTCAGTCACACAACACTGGTCTTTACACACCGCTACTAATCCTTGAAGACATTTGGCAAGACCTATATATGGATTTCATTTTGGGCCTCCCACATACCCAAAGGGGAACGAATTCCATATTCGTAGTGGTTTACCATTTCTTGAAAATGAGAAAGTTTATTGCTTACTAGAAGACCGCTGATGCAAGCAACATAGCGAGACTTTTCTTCAAAGAGGTGGTACATCCACAAGGTGTCCCAAAATTGATCACCTTCGATCGAGACACCAAGTTCCTTAGTCAATTTTGGATCACACTATGCCAAATGTTCGGGACAACCCTAAAAAAGGTAGCACCGCTCACCCACAAACGGATGGCCAAATGAAAGTCACTAATCGGACTTTGGGAAAATATGCTCCAAAGTGTGAGTAGTAACCAACCCAAGCAATGGGATGTGGCCTTGGCCCAAAACAAATTCACTTACAACAACGTCTTGCACATTGCTATGGACCACTCTCCCTCTCTTTGGTCTATAGTTCGATGCCATGACACGTGGTCGACTTGGTCTTGGTCAACCTATGTTGGGGCCCCGGACTTAGCATAACAATGGGGAACATCGCTAAAGAGGTACAAGTAACGAAGGAGACTGTCAAAGCTCAGCTCGAAGCAACGGGCATAAAGAGCAACAGTCACTAAACATCGCCAAAAGAAAGTGTTTCACGAGGGAGATGAAGTGATGGTATTCCTACGGGAACAACGTTTTCCCTTCGGCACGTATGGAGAGCTACAACCATGAAAATATAGGCCGTTCAAGATTACAAAAAAGATCAACGATAATGCTTATGTCATCACCTTTCTTGATTCATTGCATATCTCAAACTCCTTCAATGTCGCCAACATTTACGAGTACCATGCAAACGAGACAATCCCTTCAGAAGAGAACTCAATGTCAAGTTCTTCCGAGGTGGAGGACACTGATATAGAGAGGCTAGCAAGTGCAATCGAAGACTAGATCAAAAGTGGGAAAAAACACAAACAGAAAGTCCCGCAAGTTTCCCCGCGATCAAAGTTGTTAGAAAAGTTGCGCCAACCAATCGGTTCGAGAACAGGGGAAAGAGAGCCTACCATGTAACTCAAAAGCCACTTCCTCGCAGGTAGCCACACGACTAAACTGGCGGGGCTAGTCGCCCACAACCTTTCCATCTTCGTTTCTTGATCAACGTCCTACCACAATTCCAATTTCTTTTCTCTTATATTATTTATTTTTAGCTTGTCTATTAGCTTCTTTTAGTTTTAGATTTCCTTTATTGTTTTTCTATATAAACATTATCAAGCTATTATTTTAAACATATTATTCATTATTAATAAAAAAATCTCTCTTTGAGAGTATTTTCTGAAATTTGGGTGTCACGTTTGTAATTCTCGAAGATCATAAGGGGATTTAGACACTTATCATCCCTTATACAAGTGTAATATGGCCTCTAAAAATATTTGACCAACCCTACCTATGACTGGGGACCGAAATAAGCGTGTAATGCATCCATCCTCATATATTATCGTGTTTTTTTCAATTACATTGCACATACAAAATGAAAACTTAGATTCCATGGGTGACTACACATTTTTAAGAGGATAGATTTTAAAAGTGAATGATATTTGTAGATACATAACCAACAAATGTAGAAATATAAGTACACATCAACAGGCTCGTTTCAAATTCACCACAAAAATCATGTTAGAGCAATAAACAAACCCCTATTAAATAATCAGAGGAAGTAGAAGAAGTATTGCAATTTTGCAATAAGGAGTCTGATTAGCAACTATAAAAACAAATTAAGTAATTGTTGTTGGTGCTTGATAATCCATAGATATGCAAGTTGGTAATAAATTGGTGCAAGATAGAAGAATGGAAATGAAGTTGTATAGTTTAAATTGGTGGTGTGTGCACACAATCATCAACAGATCGCAATGTGATGAATGTGTGCACGAATGCGAGCTTGTAAGTTCACAAGCGCAGAGCTAACCTATCAGCATGCAAGCGAGCTTAAGCTTGCTTACAAGGTGAAGTTGGTCAAACAAGCTTACTTGAGCTCGTATAGATGTAAGTGAGCTAGAACACAAGCTCGAGCTATTCGGTGTTCATGAGTTCATGACTTCATCTTCAAGCTTGTCATTTCAATCACTTGCTACCCTTAAACGAAAGTAGTTCGGCCATTAAATATTGATAAAAATCGATTGTCCCAAACTTCGTTGTCCCCTTCATGCTCACCAATTAGATGGTTCCACATCATCCATTTATTGAGAAAAGACAATAAAAAAATTAAATAAAATAATGATTTTGTTTTACGTGATTGTTGATAAAGACCGGACAAAAAAATTGGAAAAATAATTTTTATCCGTCATCAATTTGCTACTACTCCCATGATATAATATGTGTTTTGGGCTTCGATCATTCAATAATTGTTCCTCTGTAGTTTCGGAAATTTGAATGGAAGAGTCCAACCCTAATCCAAATACAATACCACAAAAAGAAAGTTGAAGCCTTGAAGGTCCTTATGATTGGAATTTATATGTAAAATACCACAAAAAGGAAGTTGGAATTTATATGATTGGCATGCTCATTTAAGTATATATGTTGTCGCTTCATTTCTAATCCTCAATTTCAAGTTCTTTTAGTGCTTAAATAATAAGACAAAGTTTATTTGAAAGTATTGACTATATAAAATATATAAAACAAAGAACAAAAAAATAAAATAGTAAAAATATATAAACGATACATAAAGTTGGGATTGTGTATGAACAATTGACCCGAATCCATATATTACTTGTTCAGATTACTAGAATAATGTTTCAAAAATGGGACACTATTATAAAGCAGACTATTAATGATGTCAATATTTGTTAGTAATCCCTCGTTAAATATTAATGGATTACTACTGAAAAACATCCATCGGAAAAATATTGGTTGGCAGATAATACCCACGGATGATAAATAGTTAGCGATATTAAATAAATCTATTTACTAATAATCACTAAAGTAATTTTATAGTTTGAAAAAAACTACTATTAGAAATCAAAGTGTTATAGATCGATATTAAAGAAAAGATCAAATGATAAATTAAAATAAATCTATTTACAAATGTTCATTGGTAATCTGCCTAATGTATACAGTGTATTGACAGATTAACAATAGCTGTAAGAAAATCATTTTAAAAGAATAATTGACGTTGCCGTCTAGGGATAGATCCAGTGTAGTGCATGCGATAGCACGGGGCACCGCTTCTATAATAATTGGACTTTTGTGACGAACTTTACTTGAAATTTAATGTTTAGAGTTAGTCCTTGTAGTCTAAATCTAAATCTAGGTAATAATTGGACAAGTGAAACTAGAATTAAATCTAAATGTAAGAGAATTCACTAATCATTGTAAGGACACAATTTATGAAACTTGAGGGACTAAAAATGAAAAATAGAACTAAAACAATTTTGAAAATAATATATTTCATTTATCAGATTTCTTCTCCTTTCTTCTCCACGTCTCTTAGAACCCTAGAACCTCTCCTTCAAATTGAGTCTCAAATCTTTAATGAAATCATGAACTATTGAAGAATTGAAATTAAATCTTGAAGGTAAAATCATTCGGTAAGTTTGTAGTCTTGAAATCTAGGTTATTTGATTGAAACACATACTAAGTGTGTGTGTGTGTGTGTGCGCGCGTGTGTTTGTCAATTAGGTGCTGGAGTTCGGAAGAAATTGAAGGATTCAACATTTTGAAGAGGTTATAATCATCCCTAAGGTAAGAACTTGGTAAATTTTAGAAGTTTGGTGTTTGGTAACCTAGGATTCAAGAGGGTTTTTGTTTGCATGATGTTAGGGACTACTATGACAAAGTAAAAATACTTTAATTTGGTTAATTGATGGTTTAGAATGGTTACCAAATCAAATGGTAGTATTGGTATGTTAAAATGGTGAAATCTGTTATTATTGGTATGAAACCGAAGCTCCTGGTAAATGTGTATAAAATCAACCGTTGATCCAATTAAGGTATATGATATGTCCTTGGAAAGCTTAATGTGTTTTCTACAGCTGTTATGTAGAGTTCGAAAGCTAATTGTGACCTTAAGTGTGTCAAAATGCCAAATTAAAGTAGCTGGTATAAACTTCGTATGTAGTTGGTCGTAGCTTTAAATGACATGAATATTGTTCTATTGAACTCCCAAGGGACATATACAACTTTCATTTAAAAAGTATCACCAAATTCAGCTCCTATGTATGAGATATATGTCCAAAACAGAGACGAACAGAAGCTGAAAGTGTGCAGGGGATAACATTTTTATTTGCGATGTCTTATTTGGTTGCTCAACTATGTCATCCCCTTATCAACACTAGAATTGTATTATAATCCTATTGATATGCAAATAACGCTTATTTAAGCTAAAGAAGATTACACAGAGGATAAATGGATTAGACATACATAGGTAATCATGGTACATTTTAAGAACCGTTTGTTTTATTTTGTGCCCTAGTGTGCAATGCCATCTGGCTCCAACACAAACGCAATTGAAGATTTTTGAATCACAAGACAAAATTGGTTGCCCATATCTTCACAATATGACACATTTCAAACGTTTCATGAAAATATATACCTTGCTGAAGCTGACAACAATCTCCTTCTAGAAAGAAATATTCTAGAAATGTAGAGTTGAAGTATCTAGAGTATTTAGTGATAGAATATCGAGAAATTGTTAGAAATTGCAAACATCTAGATATTTATGGAGTAGTGACGAGCTAAATTTCATTTCAAAGAGCAGAAAGAGCACATGAAACCAAGATCTATATGCAAAACATAAAAAACATGAGGATTTAAAATACATTGGCGMCAAACAAAACTTATTTGAGGTTACATTAATTGGATTCCAAAGTAAATGGAATCGCGTTCCTTTATTCATAAGATAAGGTCGATGTATTATACATCTCCACACCGACAATTCACCTCATTCAGTTAATTTGCACTGGATTATCGTAGAACAAACTATTCATCAAATTTGGCAGAATAAGATTTATGAAGATTTCACTTCCTTCCTCTGATAGGTGGATACTATCCCAGAACAAGTATTTAGAGTCATCATCGCACGTTGAGCTGAATTTGTTACATAGAAAARCCACCTCTATATTTCCGGTTCCACAACAGCCTTTATCTGTAACTTCCAAGCCTAGGGAAAACAAAGAAGAAAATGGAAAACCTTATTACAGGTGAATGCAAAATGTGGGCCAGAAATTGTTGAATACATAGATGGAAAGTTTCATCAAAGATGATAGGATTTTAGGGGAACTTCTAAACTATAAACTTAGAAGCATCATTAATATTTACACAAATTYGGTTCATAAAGTGTATATATTAAGTCTAGTCAATACCGTATTGGTTAGGGTTTTCAATGATGCTTATCAGTGGATTATAGAAATCTACGAAGGCCACCCTGGACTGGGGAAGATTGCTTGCAAGAAC